AGAATGGCAGTGGAGACTTAGCAGAGGAGAGCTCCAAAGCAAATGGAGGAGTGATGATCAAATTAGCAGAGTGATAGATGCCTCAACCTGAAGCGCTGACAGCGTAGAAATGAGGTGATTTGCCTGCAGAAGTGCTGATAGGCTCAGATGGGAGGCCCCAGTGACTTTGGAAGGCAGGGGGAAGGGGCAACATCTAGGGAATTAGGGCTATGAGAACTGGAACAGGGCTCCCTCTGCACCCTGGATATCTGGGTACCCACCTCCGCACCCTAGGGAGACTGGAGGCCTATTCTCTGGAAAAACTGGACTGGAATACTGTTGGGAGGGGTTATGGGTGACTGAAAACAGGGGGCTGAATGAGAGCTGGGACCTCTGTGCGTGTCCCCTGCCCTGTTCCACTATGCCTGCAGCCAGGCCCGTGTAGCCCCCGCAAGGGATTGGAAGCTTCTTCTCTTGACAAATCGAACAGCTCTAGAAAAAATAACCCCAGATACCTAAATATATGGGTCCCACAATGGAAAGCTTGGCACCTTTTTTCTTACATTACTTGAAGCTCACCAGCGAATGACACCTCCACACATATAGAGCCTCCAACCTGCTTTTAGTACTTTGCTCTTAAATAGGATTAGGCAGCTAAGGAACTGAGTCATGTTAGGGAAGCCTCACCATGAAGGGCATGGACCAAAACAAAACAGAAAAGAGAAACCTTGCTGAAAATAGAGATGGTGCAAGTAGCAGAGAAAATGTATTTTTTGAAAAAGTTATGGTAATATTTGCAGAAAGTAAGAAGTTATTTCATGTCTACAATGAGAATAGCACTTATGAAAGAGAATTAGAGAATAAGAAGGAGATAGTGGAAACAACAAATTAAATACTTGAATTAAAAAAACAAACAAACTGCTGAGTATATATTTCTCCAAAAGTAGAACAAAAAAAAAAATGGAGTTGAAAAGTAGTTGAAAAAGAAATGCCAAAAATTGAAATGCAGTCTAATAGATTTAACATTACTAATATAGTAGATGCAAAAAACAAAAATAAAATAAAAATGGTTCTCTGAACATTGTTCTTGTACAAGAACATTTCATAGAACCCAAGAAATGAGTTTTCAGATTGAAGGAATATATTAAGTGTCCATGTGTTATAAAATTGCTTACTTTTATAAAATGCACACTCAGGTACATCATTGTGAAATTTCAAAACACCAGGGACAACGAAAATGTCCTGAAGACTTTCAGAGAAAAATAATCAGGGCACACACAGAGGAAAGGCTATCATAATAGCACTGAGTTCTTTATGGCATTCCTGGAAGCTAAAAGATAATGCAGTAATATTTTTAAAGATCTGAGGGAAAATTTTTTCTAACCTAGATTCTAAATCCAGTTAGGCTATCAATCAAAAGTAAGCATAGAGTAAAGACATTTTTTTTTCAGTATACAAAGACTCAAAAATGTACTCCCTTGGAACTTTTCTTAAATATCTGCTGGAAGTATGCTACATCAGACCAGTAGGGTAAACTCAGAAAAAGGCAGACACAAAACTGGGAAATAATTCGGAAGAAGAGGAGGAGAGCAAGCAGACGTGATATAAAGCAGATGGTAGAAGGCTGCAGAAGGGTCACCAGGGGACAAGATTACCAAATTATCTGCTGCTTTGATCATCTGGAAATTAACCCTGGTAAGTAACAGTGGTGATGCAGCAGATAAAAGGATTTAAGGCTAGTTACATAGAAAACAACTCAAGTAAATATAGCAATAGATTATTAACTCTAGAAAAGGTAAAGTTTTATAAGAAATAGTAGATGACCAGAGTCTATAATTTGGCTCTTTGGTGAACAATATGTAGTCATGATAATATAAAACAGTTGGCCCTTGATTTTGTTATTGGGAAGTTAGCAGAATGAGAAATTCACACGTATGCTGTGTTATTTACCATATGTAAAACTGGTAAATGAAGAAATAAGCATATTACCTAGTGACGTGGAGGTAAATACTAGAAGAAACAGCTATTATTTGAAATCGGTTTCCTCTGGGGAATGTGGTTGGGATTAGGGAAGGGAAGGTGGAGAGTACAGGTTGACATTATATTTTGTTTCACTGTGATAAAAAATGTTAGTATAGCTGATGAAAACGAAAGTAGGCAATGAAATAACTGGAATCTGTGAAATAATGATGAATTTGCAGATGAGTGTACCTCTTCGAGTGGTTTCGTCTGTAAAATAGGTGATGATGTCTAACATGTTTTACGTCTAAAAGGCTAATCACCAAGCAAAACTGACAGCATCTTGTCAGCAGCAGGAGACAAATGTCTCCGTGGGTCTCCAGGGAGACCCAAGACAAATCAGAAAGACAAAATAAGCAAGGGTGTGCCATAGCTGAATCAAGTAATTGGAAGGTTGTTTTAATGGATGCATTTTGAAGGTCATGCCTTAAAAAAGGGACTAGACCCAACACTCATTGGACATTGACAAAAATCACCCATGTGTTTGCCCACAAAGAAAACTAATACATTTAAAAAGGGAGAAGTAATAGACTTTTTTTTCTGGCTCTAATGCAGGTAGAAATGTACAACATATAGAAATAGAGACCCTCCAAACCAAAACAACACGATAACAAACATACTGGATATAGAAAACTTTCTCAACAGCAACATTTATGTCAAAGAAGAAATCGAAACCACAAACCATCTAGAAAGTAGTAATAGAAACATTACTGTGGTGGAAAGCTGCCTTCCCAGTCTTTGTTCTCTTCTCTCCTTTTACTAACAGAACAGTGATTTTGTTGAGCATATCACTGACCAGCTAAACCCTATTTCACAGCTCTCCTATCAGTCAGTGGAGCTGGGCAGAAGCCATATGATTAAGTTCTCACCAATAAGATGCCAGGGAGGGTCAGTGGGCAGGGCTTCCAGGAAAGCTCCTTAAAACGAAGGTTGGCTCAGCTGTGTAATAAGTTTTTGGCCTATGTGATTCTGGACCAGCCATCTTTTAATTGTAAGGTATCTAACAGGTACTAAAGGTAGATGAGTGGAAAGATAAAAGAGGCGTTCCTCAAAAATAGCCTGGGATCCTTTCATTCCAGTCTGGACTTCCTACCTCTGGGTGGGGGGGAAACACACCTCTCTCTCATGTTTTTTATCCTTAATCAAGGACTTTGTTTTCATTGCTTTTTTTGAGAGAAGAAAAAGAAGAGAGGGAGAGAAACATCAATGTGGGAGAGAAACATTGATTGGTTGCCTCCCATGCACACCCCAACCAGGAACTGATTTGCAGTCTAGGTATGTGCCCTGACTGGGGACTGAACCTGCAACCTTTTGGTTTATGAGATGACACTCCAATCATTTGAGCTACACTAACTAGGGCAAAAATCCTAACTCTTAAGTTGCTACTTTGGGTCTCTTTGTTTATAGGAACCAACAAAATTCCTAACTGACACAGTCACATATCGAAATCTATGGGATACAATTAAAAATGAAAATAAACAAAAGAAGCATGCAAGTTAAGAAATTGGAAACCAAAACAACAAAATAAAGGAAGGCAGAAGGAAATAATAATGTTCAAACTAGAACTCAGTAAATTAGAAAATGAAAAGAAAAAGAAAGGATAAATCTGACCTGGCTGGTGTGGCTTGGTTGGTTGGTTGTTGTCCTGCAAAGCAAAGGGTTGCCAGTTCAGTTCCCAGTCAAGGCACAGGCCTGGGTTGCGGGCCTGGTCCCAGGTTGGGGTGTGTGGGAGAGGCAACGGGGCGATGTTCTCGCACTTTGATGTTTCTCACCCTTTCTTTCTCCCTACCTTTCCTTCTCTCTAAATAAATAAAATAAAATTTAAAAAAGGGGAAAAGAAAGGATAAATCTAAGAGCTAGTTATTTAGGGGGGATAACAATTTAAAAATATAGACATACATTTTACCTGTGAAGTCAAGAAGTTGGTGGAGAAAGCAAACAAAACTAGGTCATAAGAAATAGACACAGAGATGACGTGATCCACACTTTGCAACACTCTGTGCAAATCAATTTGAAAATGTGGATCAAATAGATGATTTTCTTGGAAAATATGCTGCCAGATTGATTCCAGTGTAGAAAGAAACTCAAAACGTCTGCTAACAGTGAAAGAAATGAGACAACTGTGATCTGTGACTAGTTCTTCCTGCTCTTACTGCTGTTTGAGCTTCCTGGTGTGATGGAAGCAAGTTTCTGGTGAGAGAACCGCCGGGCGAGGTGTGGACTGATGATCTGTGTGTGTCCCCGATGAGCCTGGGGGGCGAAGGTCGTGATTCTTGGCATTAGGACCCATCACAAAATAAAGAGCTCTGAGCCTTCAGTTTTACATTAAATATTTAAGATCAATATGTTATTTGATCTTTTTAGTAAGAAAAAATGATTGAAAATTGTTTTTAATCATTATCACTCACTGTCGGTCTCACAAACAACTGATTCCTTAAAGTAAAAACATTTTAAACAGTATATCCAAACAAATAATGATGAAGATTTCAAAGCGGTATGATGCATAAGAAAGATTAAGAGGGTTGTTTTGACAGAAGAACTAGTGGTATAGGAAGAAAGAAAGCTGGTGAGCATCAAAGCACCATAGCTCTTAATTGATTGCATGGAAAACTACTCTTTCTCAAGTGCTGGTAACTAGAATTTCCCTATTGGTTAAACATAAATAGCATAAAGTATGTGGAAAACAGTTGAGGATAAAAATGAAGCAAACAGAACAGCCCGTCAGCTAGAAACAGAATCATGAGGTTATGCCAAAGGCTTCAGATCATTATAGCAGTCGTCTCCCCTCGGGCCAGGGCTCAAGCCCGGTATTGATAAACACTGTGGTCTCAGCCCAGGAGCATCCAGGAAGGCCTGCTTGGACACGCATTTGGTTCTGAAGTTTTCTTGCTGCTTGAAGTGTTCTGTTTTCTTTGAACTTTGACGTTCCCCCACATAATCTTCATTTAAAGAGATGTAGTTCTAACTCAATGTCCTCTTTTTACCCCATCTCTCCCTGGTAGCAGGAACAGTGAAGCATGGAGCTGTATTTTGGTGAATATCAGCACGTGCAGCAGGAATATGGTGTCCATCTGAGACTTGCCAGTGATGAAACCAAAAAATCCAGGAATTCCCAGCCCTCTAAGGCAGGCTCCTATGGCGTCAGTATTCGGGTACAGGGAATCGATGGCCACCCCTACATAGTTCTGAATAATACAGAGCGCTGTGTGCCAGGTACATCTTTTTCTGAAAATGGGCCCTCATTTCCATCTCCAATGATAAATAACCTGCCTGTGTATCCCAGCAATGGTGCTGGGCTAGAGGAGCACAATGCAGAAGAGTTGCAGCTTCCAGAAAACCCGTATGCCCAACCCAGCTCAGTAGGGGCCCCAAAACAACCCTCTCTCTTTGAGGGCAAGAATGGGGTTGTAGAGTGCAAAGAGGGGCCCGTGAAGCCATCCCACGTACTGAACTTTCAGAGGCACCCAGAGCTTTTGCAGCCCTATGACCCCGAGAAGAATGAGTTGGACGTACAAAATCACCAACCACCTGAGAGTAATTGGCTAAAATCCTTAACAGAAGAAAGTATCAACAATAAGAAGAGTTGGACTTGCTTCCCCAAATCTAGTAGTTCCCAGCCTACCAGCCCTCCTTTGGGAGATGTGGCCAAATCCAACGTGACAGCCATTCGTCTATGCAGCTCGGTGGTCATAGATGACCCCAAGAAGCAGACCTCGGTGTGCGTGAATGTGCAGAGCTGCACCAAGGAGGGGCTGGCAGAGGAGGCCCTTTCTACTAGTGGGAGGCCCCTACCTGCCCATGGCCCACACACCCACTCTGAAAACAAGAAAACCAGGCCAGATGTGCTTCCCTTCCGGCGACAAGATTCAGCCGGTGCCATCCTGGATGGAGGTCGGTCTCGGAGATCCTCCTCGTCGTCGACAACGCCCACTTCGGCCAACTCCTTGTACAGATTTTTGCTTGATGATCAAGAATGTGCCATCCATGCTGACAATGTGAATCGTCACGAAAACAGAAGGTATATCCCCTTCTTGCCCGGGACGGGGCGTGATATTGATACGGGATCAATTCCTGGAGTGGATCAGTTAATTGAAAAATTTGACCAAAAACCTGGGCTGCAGAGGAGGGGAAGGTCTGGGAGGCGAAACAGGATCCATCCAGATGACAGAAAGAGGTCCAGAAGCGTGGATAGTGCCTTTCCTTTCGGTCTGCAAGGGAACTCGGAGTACCTAAATGAGTTCAGCAGGAACTTGGGCAAGTCCAGTGAACACCTCCTGCGGCCCTCACAGGTGTGGCAGCGGCCGCCGGCCCAGGAGCACCGTGGGAAACAGAGCATGGGCCACGCCTCTGCCAAGCTTCAGGGAGCCCACCCCAGGCCTCCCCAGCAGAGCAAAGAGGGGAAAGTTCTAGAAAGCAAAGGTGGTCAGGAAAGTACAACCACACATGCATCCTCCCTCCCAGCACAGAGTAAGAAGGAGGAGGAAATCAAAACAGCCACTGCCACACTGATGTTACAGAATCGGGGGCTAGCAACTTCACCTGACTCGGGTGCCAAGAAGATTTCTGTGAAGACATTTACTCCCACCTCGAGTACTCAGGTAATGCTCGTGCGAGGGTCCCCAGCCTCACCTCTCCTCCCCCTCTTCTAAATGCTGCAGGAAGCTATAGAAATACATATCCTCCATCTGGAATGGGTGGTTGCATGTCTGATTTTTTACCAGAGCGTTTCCTACAGATATGTTCTGCTGCCAATTGTATGGTTTTCTGAGATAACTCAAGTACCACTAGATTTCCACTGGGGGCTTGCCTGTAAAGGAACTTGTCAAACACTGTAGAGAAGTTTGACTTTTCTGTTTGTATAGGTGTGAAATCAGGAAGTATGTGGAGTTTGTTTCCATGCAGAGGTTCAGGGCTTAGGTTTGTGTATTAATTTTCCTCATGACAAACTTGAGTGGCTGGGTTAATTTCTGGCCTGAGAAATTAGGTTAGCCCTAATTTAAGGTTAACTCTAAAGTAATGGAATTTATTTAAGTGGTATATTTAGTGTCTTGGTAGACACAATAAAAAATTAATGATAATGATAAAAATGATAATTAGGTTATAAGTGTCAGGCGCTGTTTGTTGTATATTATAGGATGGCACCAACCCTGTGAAGGTAGGTCCTAATAACCTCGATTTACAAGTGAGAAAATTGGAGTGAGGAAAAGTTAAGTGACTTGCCCAAGGATACTGAGCTGCTTACTAAGTGGTGGAGCCAGTTGGAGGATTCTACCTGAGGAATCATTTTTGGGAAGTAGGAATGAGTTTGGAAGCTTCTGCTTCAGGGTTTTGCCTTCTTCTTGGAAACACCATCTAATAACAGACATTATGTTCCAGGCCACACCGGATCTGTTAAAAGGCCAGCGAGAGCTCACTCAACAAACCAATGAGGAGACGGCCAAGCAGATACTTTACAATTACCTCAAAGAAGGGTTAGTACATTTCCTTGAAGGAGCAAAATATTGTCATTTCTTGTGGGGCTCTTAGTTTCCTTTCCCGAGACCTTGTGTTTTGCTCTCCCTTGGGGTCCTCTGTGAGCCATTTGAGGGTTAAGATTCAATGGCTGGAGTTTTCACAGAAACATTTAAATCTTGGGTGGTGGGGAGGGAAGAGCAGGGGAAGGGAGTGTAAAGAAGGACATCATACTTTAAAAATTATAAATGAATATACTTTTCCCATGACTCTTCTGAGTTTGTCACTAAAACCAAATTCAACAATAGAAGAAGGTCTGTTACTCAGTTGTGGGTTGATCTGCCATCACCTCATGTTCTGCCGTGCACACCGTGGTACTCTTGTCATCCCCTAGGAGAAGTTACCAGTAAAAACACCTCCTTTCCTCCCCAGAGTTGACATTGGCCAGGAGCCCCTGCTTCCATTATTTTTAAAGCATGTGTGAGTCATTTAAAAGCAGCGCTTTCCACGTACTTATCTTGGAGATTGAGTTTGCGTAATCTGGTTTTCAGTCCTTACTTAGATAATAATTGTGCTGGAATTCTAGGTCAGGAATTTGAAGTTTCTGTTTCAGTTCTCTCATCAGATGTGATTAAAAAGGAAAAAAAGCTTTACAATCTGACATGACTGAAAGTCACACGGCAGATACTCATTGGTTATCAAAACTTCACATTTTTCTATTGAGCCTTACAATTATTTGTCAGTAATATAGAGCTGACAAAATAGTCAGGTTCAAAATATAACATAAGGGCTCTTTTGAGAAAAAAAGGAACCAAAGAGATTCTTCTATTCTTCTAGCCAAGAACGTTATTAGTATCTCTCTGTGAAGGGTTTTACTTAAGGTTAAGGTAAGAAAACTTTAGATTTTTAAAATTCTCTAAATTCTGTTTTTGGTTCATGCTTCGAGAGACTAGGGACATAAACCTTAGCAGAGGCACTTATTTAAAGAAACTTCTTTAGAAAAAATTTCCCCCTAATTGTCAGGTATGTGTGATAGAAGATGTGGTTGGAGTTAAGACTTTAGCCAATCATTCATTACCTGTCAGAGTCTAGACAAAGGCTGCTGTGTTGACAATCTTGGCTTGGGGGATTAATTTTTTTAGACGTAGGCTAAACAAGTTAAGATCACTGCAGATCATTCTTAAGCATAAGGTTGAAAAGTAAGAATGTATGCTGGTGTGAGACACACAGAGGAGAAATCCCTGGTTGGAAGGAGTATAATTCATTTGAATCAAAAACAAGTTATTAAATTTCCGCTGGATGTTTCCTCCAAGCTTATTTAGAATGTTGTGTCTCTTTCACATGTTTGAAAGTGGAAGCTGGTCTCAAACTGAGTAGTAATATAAGACAGTTTATTCAATGAAAAAATACACCATCCATTCTGCTGTTCACTGGTTTTGTAGTTTTTTATTAAAAAAAAAGATCATGCCTTAGTGATTTGTCTTCTATAAGGGCTTATTTGTGGGTCATGGCACATAAATGATTAGATTTTATTAATTTATTTTTAGAGAGAGGGGAAGGGAAGGAGAAAGAGAGGGGGAGAAACATTGATATGCAAGAGAAACACCAGTCAGCTGCCTCTTGCACACCCCCAACAGGGACGTGACCTGTGACCCAGGCTTATGCCCTGACTAGGAATCGAACCAGCATCCTTTCAGTTTGTGGGACAACACCCAACCCACAGAGCCACACCAGTCAGGCTCCTTTTCCTCTTTTTCAGAAGCACTGATAATGATGATGCTACTAAAAGGAAAGTCAACCTGGTCTTCGAGAAAATCCAGACTTTAAAGTCTCGAGCAGCAAACACACAAGGAAATAATCAAGTAAGTTGACATGTTGTACGTTGCAGGGGACATTTAACATGGAATGTGGCAAACAAATTGCTGTGTCTTCAGTCTGTATAGTTGGTTATGTCACCAAAATGGGAAGTTTCCTGAGTGGTGAGCAGCACCTGGATAGAATATTATGTTTTAAATGTTATAAATTTGTACCCTGCCTTTTTTTTTTCCAGAAAGGTTTTAAGATATTTATTTAAAAAACATAATAGAATGAAACAGATTTAGAAAGGGAAAATAAGAATAGAAAGAATGAAGCAAAGTGATAAATTTGCCTAGTATTATCATAGGCAAACTCAGAAGGTAAGTGTAAATTGGCTTGGACCCAAGCTCTGGAACTTCAGAGAATGAGAAATAAGAGAATAAAATCAAGAGATTAAGAAATAGAGACAGGTGAAGCCAACCAGCACTGGTGGAAGGGAAAGGAAGGAGTAGAATAGTGCCAATTTAAAAACAACAACTGCCTGTTTAATTGGTTGTACTGAATTCCAGTTGGGACTTGGAGATTTTGTTGTTGTTAAAAAAGGATTCCTCTCACAGTCAATGAACATCTACTATATGTCAGACACACCCAGTGCCCTGAAAGGAAGGCGCATGTAAGGGAGATGACTGAACACTTGTTCTCAGTTCTACACCACCGTGAACTGCGGCCCCTTTCTTGCCTGTGCATCTTTACTTTCTCCTCCTAGGAGAATACTGTGTGGGCATGAAAGATACCCAGAGGCAGGTAATAGGAGGTTTGCCTATAGCTTCTTTTCAACTTTGGGAGGATGTATAGAGGATACTCTTAGGCATCGACTGCCTTCTTTTCTCTGCTGCTCAGTGTTCCCCTAGCACTCAACTGCCTGTGACTGCTGTTGTGGCAGCAAATAGAACTCCGTTGGCATCAAATCAGACTATATATGTATATGAATGTGTGTATTTATGTATATATATGTGTGTATATATACATATAAACATACATACATACAGGAGTGGGCAAAAGTAGGCTTACAGTTGTTTGTATGGAAAATACAACAGTTATACCCTGGCTGGTGTGGCTCAGTGGATTGAGTTCCAGCCTGCCAACCGAAAGGTCACCAGTTTGATTCCCAGTCAGGGCACATGCCTGGGTTTCAGGCCAGGTCCCCAGCAGGGGACGTGCAAGAGATGACCACACATTGATGTTTCTCTCCCTCTCTTTCTCCCTTCCTTCCCCTTTCTCTAAAAATAAATAAATGAAATCTTAAAACAAAAAGGAAATACAATTATTAATAAATAATAATACAAGAATAAACTGTGTCCATAATCACAAGTATAAACTTATCTTTGCCCATTGTTGTGTATAATATTTTATTGATACATATATTAACTATTGCCAGTGGGAATCTTTAGAATATACACTTTGCTGTAGTTCTACACAGTTCTTAAAATTAGTTAAGGATTTTTTTTTTTTTTTGCTAAAACTCTTAAATCCAAATTATCACTCTGATTCTTGCTTTTCTTACCTGCATATTCTTAGGGAGAACACATCCTTTGTTTTTTGTTTGTTTGTTTTTTGTTTTTTTTACATCCTTTGATGTTGATGTTAAGATTGTGATTGTGGGTTACAGACCAGGGTATTCAGCCCAAACTGGGGAAATCAGGATAGGCCTTCTGGAGTCAGTAACAGTAGGGATTCTCTGGGAGAAGGGAATGCAGGGTTGTAGGTAGAGGGAATGGCACAAATAAAATGTAAAGCGGCATGTGCTAGCCATACATAGGGGATGGAGGAAATTTTGTGTAGCTGGGGCAGAGAGTATGTGTGGACAAAGTACCAGGTAGGAAGGTCCTCAGAAATTGCATGAGACGTTTCCATTTCAGTTGAAGGTGATGGGCTACATTGATGGACCTTTTTTTAAAAAAGATTTTATTTATTTATTTTTAGACAGAAAGGAGGGGAGGGAGAGAGGGAAAGAAATATCAATGTGTGGTTGCCTCTCATGTACCTCCTACTAGGGACCAGCCAGCAACCCAGGCATGTGCCCTGACTGGGAATCAAACGGTGACTCTTTGGTTCTCAGACCAGTGCTCAGTCCACTGAGCTACATCAGCTGGGGCCCATTGATGGACTTTAAACAGGAATGGATAGTGTCATATTCAGTGAAATTAATTCCTTTTCTGGATTTTTGAGAGAGGTAAGATGAGGGGAAGGGAGCCCTTTTAAGAAGCACTGCTGAATCAAGGGGCAGATGATGAGAAAACGAACTGAGGCTCTTGGATTGCTGGTTCCGATTACAGGGTGGTGACTGCCCTATTGCCCATATTTTTCTACTCCCATTATCTCCCTTTTGTTTTCTGAATCTGATTATTTGCTGGCGGGCTTTGGAGTTTTGTCTTTTGGGTGTCCGTGAAGTGATTTCCTGCAAGAGAATGTAAGAACCCTCTCCCATACAGACTGAGACCATATTGGAAAACAGCAAAGTAGGCAGAGTTTTTGTTTGGGAAAGAGCAGTACATAAGTTCCTCCTGGGATGGATTTAAATTTCTAAAATGGATTGTTCTTATTTTATCTGAGAGGATGGGAAGTCCTGCGTTTTTGTTGACTGTGTAGGGGTAGGGGTTCTGGTTAACGTCACCGGAGGAGGTGAGGAAATACTGCATTCCAAGTTCATCACGTACAACTCACTCCTGGACTCAGGCGCATGAGGGCTAAGTTACTGCCTTTTCTAGTTTTTATTTCTGCTTTTATTCCCCCTTTTCTATTTGTAGTTTTCTAACCACCTTACTGTAGGATTTTAGCCAAATCCTTTGAGAACATCATCCTGTTACTACATCCATGGAAGGAAAAAAAAAAGACTTATTAATATTCATACTCAGATTAGAGGTATTTTCTAATAGATTCTCTTTGATCAGATCCCTTTTTGTTATAACTCTCTTCATTATAGAAATGTGTCAACTATTTTTTTAATTTAATAAGGTTTGATTTATTTATTATTTTTTATTGTTGTTTAATTACAGTTGTCTCCATTTTCCCCTCTAACTCTTCCCTGCCCTCCGCCTTCCCACAGTCAATCCTTCCCCCCCACTGTCCTTGTCCATGGGTCCTTTATACCTATTCCTTCACTTGGTCTTTCCCCTTCAGAAGAAAGACAATTTAACCAGCATACACTTATTTACTATTTGCATACAGGCATATGCAGAGAATGAGGGTTAAAAATCTTGTTGGTGGTTATGGAGCAATAATTCCCAATCTAATGAAAATTCTATAATAGATTTTTATACAAAGGGCCTTGGGAACACAGAGACATGGGCATTGGGTATTACTTTATGCAGTACAGGAATTTTCACAAATATTTATTTTGATCTTTTTACATAGTTTTATTGGGGTATAACTTACAGTAAATTCACAAATTTTAGCTGCATAGTTTATTGGGTTTTTTTTTAGGTATGTGTCTATGCAAACACCACCCCGGTCAGGATGCAGGCCACGCCCACCGCTCCCCAAGGTTTCCTCATTCCCTTCTCTGTCGGGATCTGCATTAGAATTGAGTCTTAAGATTTTCATGTTATTGCTCTGATTATATTTTAGGGGAAAGAGAATTAAAATAAAGCACTTTGAGCATTTAAATTAGTGTATGTTTGCAATTAATTGTAGGCTTCTAATTCTTCATCTGAAGTGAAAGATCTGTTGGAACAGAAAAACAAGTTGACTACCGAAGTGGCTGACCTTCAGAGACAACTTCAACTAGGAGTCAAGGTATCTGATTTTTCCTTTTTCCCCTCTGTCTTGATTGATAAGGAATATGTTACGTACCTTGGGGTGCTCAAGTGAATCGAAAGGCAATTTTTTTCCTGAAAGAAACATTCCTCTCATCATTGAAGTAAATTTCTGTATATGGGCTCTCACTGTCCAAATAACTTTTTTTTAAGTAACCAAAGCATATAGAGACTGTTTGCTTTGACAGAGTAAAAGAAAACACTTTTTGGTCAGACAGGCCAATATGAAACTAAATGCATACAAAATATCAGAAAAAAGTAATAGAAAGAACAGAATGAGATTTAGTGATGTTTGTGTTTTTCTTTTAGAAGTATTACAACACTTTAAATATTTAATGTTCTTTCTAGTTGTAAACTCTTATGCTTTAATTATGTGGTTCAATTAGTAATTAGTAATGCAGTTAATAATTAATAATGTAAGTGCAGAGACATAGAGTCCCCCAGAGTTTAGAAGTAGGCTTCTGTGGGATGACATTAATGTATAGTGGAGGTACTTTAAAATCACGCGTATTCATATTAGAATCAGCAGAACCTCAAAGAAGAAAGAGAAAGAATGAAAGCCAACTTAGAAGAGCTCCAGAGCCAGCATGACAAGAAGGCAGAGGAGAACTCCGCGCTGCAGCAGCGCCTCGAAGAAAGTGAAGGGGAGCTCCGGAAAAACCTGGAGGAGTAAGTTCTGGGCCAAGAGCCTGTGTCCTTCTTCCGATGCAGGTAGAGCCTTTTAGTCCATTTAGTACTACCTGGTCTCTTCCTATTCTCCTTGGTAAGCAGAAGGGTTATAATTTTCAAATTCTTTGTATACCATAAAGGATGTCTTGTAAACTTTCAGTCTTTAGTGTAGACCTCATAGCGCATAAGAGAGAAGTAAGGGACACTGAGTGGCAATGTTCAAAGAGTGAGATTTCACGGAGCCTGAGCCCAGCCTCCGCAAAGCCCGTGTCACAAGACCGCCATAATCTCCTGGTTTGTGAATTTTATCCTGGGTGGTGTGGGTCTCTGTGACTTGTGCTTATGCTTCTGTTGAGTTTGCAGAGATGGAAAGTCAAGCCCAAAGTAGCCCTGTCATCATTGCATTAAAATCTGTAAAAAAAAAAAAGAAATCTGAAACTGAGGTCTGAAAAGGTACTGTGCTATGAGGCCCTGGGGACATGATGGGACATTTAAGTGAAGGTTTAAGCAGGAGTGAACTCTGGAGGGAAATTTAAAAAAATAGCGTGTTATATTTATAATAAAAGCATTTAATGGCCTTGGCTATTTTGTTGGGGTGGTTTTTGCTTTTAAAACATCCTTAGAAGTTAATGTTAGAAAAGAGGTTGATAAGAAAAAAAATCAGTAAATTTAGGGTATAGTAAAGGCTTTATAAAATAGAAAGGTAGAATTAGTTGTGAATTTGATTTAGAGCAGAGGTTAGCAAACTGCTGTCAGATAGTGAATACTTTATGGTTTATGGGCCATATGATCTTTGTTGGAATCACTTAATTCTGCCATTGTGTTGTGCAAATGACCGTAAGCAATACACAAATGAATGAGCATGGATGTATTCCAATAAAACTTTATTTACAAAAGTAGTCAGTAGGCAAGACTGCTCCATAGGCCATAATTTGCTCACTCTTCTGATCTATAGTACAGGGGCAGGGTGGGGGGAGGCAGAGAATAGGAAGCAGAGAATGGGGGGCTCCTTGGGGCTTTAGATGGCTCTGCTTGAGCATCTGAAGGTCTGAAACCAGACTGAATGAAAATAAGCAGAGCCCAGGAGAGTCTGTCTGATGGACTCATTTGCTGTCAGACTGTTCCAGGTGAAGATGGAAAGGGAACAGCACCAGACTGAGATCAGAGATCTCCAGGACCAGCTCTCAGAAATGCATGATGAACTGGACAGTGCTAAGCGATCCGAGGACAGAGAGAAGGGGGCTCTCATTGAGGTAAGAGAACTGTGGGGTCTGGTAACAAGATAGGCGCGTCCACACGAGAAGGATGAGGTGGTGGAGGGGCGTGGGGACTGAGAACTCTGAGCCATCCTCTGTTCTGTGCGCCAGCTCCACCTGTGTCTGTGGTTAGATTCTGTCAGAGCATCGTCTATGACAGTTTTTAAATGTTGTCTTAAGAAAACTTTCAACCATATAGAAAGGTAGAAAGAGCCCTTCATTAACTTCTGTAGAGCCCCAACCCAGATACAACAGTTGTCAACATTTTGCAATATTAACCCACTTATTCATCTGTCCATCCATTCTTCTGTTTTTTCATGCATCCATTTATTTCTCTTTGCTTAACTGTTTCAAAGCAAAGTACAGATAATAACATGCCTTACTCCTAAATTCTTAAGTATACATCTTTGAAAAATTGGGGAATTTTCTTACAACTATAATACTGTTATCACATTTGAAAAATTTGATAATTTCTGTATATGTATAAAATATAACAAGAATTCTAATACCTGGGCCCTTATTCAGAATTTTCCAGTCGTTCCCAAGTATGTTTTATGGTTGTGTCCCCCCTACCTCCCAGCCAGGATCCAATCAAGAGTCCCACGTTGCTTTTACTCTTACCTGAGTTTTCATTTATCTTGGTATGGCCCTCTCCCCCATTCCCTACTCTCAGCTCTTTTTCACCCAACCCACTGATCTTCTGAAGAGACTGTTTGTCTGATTATTTCCTCATGGTGTTCACCCCTTGGTCTTAGTAAATTTGTATTTAGATCTCTACACCAATAGAGTTAGGTTAAACTTTGCGTATAAATACTTTGTGATGCTATTTATGGAAAATCATTGCAAAGACATTAATGTCCATTTAGCACTTATCACAGTTTAAATGTTTATTTGTTTAATGCCCCACAAGACTGTAAGCTCCAGGAGGGCAGGGTTGCTTATGATTGGCTCAGTATTTTATCCCCAGCAGCTCTCCCAGTGTTTGGGACATAATAGCACTGAGTAAATATTTGGTGGGTGGGTGGCTGGATGGATGCATTATGGGTAAGTGAATGAGTGAATGAATCTGTTTGGTGTGTACACAGGCTGCCCATCTTGCGTCTGCCTTTATTAGTATGTCCCCTATTAAATAATTAGCTCTTATCAATCTGTGAGTCAGTAGATAACGTTGACTCTTTCCTCTGCTTAGCATTTGTTAATTATTATGGGGTTTTACAAAGACAATGATTACTTTTTTCCCTGAATTAGGTTACCATCCGGTTGAGGTGTTAGATATACACATATAAAATGATTAGAGAGCAAGAGTAGGTTTTGAACAGCTACGATTTTTTTGTTAAGTGAGTCTAACTGAGGGTGGCAAGAACACAGAAGTTTTATCTCTGTGCCCATTTAGATGTTTTGATATTTGCTGTCACATTATCATCACCTATACTTTTGGCATGGTTTTGAAATTTATTTTCTTAATAAACTTTGTTTTATAGGAATAGCCTGAAAAATTAATAATACATGATTTAGAACAAAGGGAAAAAAATCAAACTCGAGGCACCTTGTTGGTATTGAACTTTCAGTTTCTACTGCTTCCCCTGTGGGCTTGAGTCTCGTCTTTGTCCCTTTCTTGGGGTTAGAAGCTGCTGGCTCTTACGTCCCTAAAGTTTCTTGTTTCAGTTTCTGCTGTCAATTGCTTTCTCACCCCCTTTCTTGTTCAGTTTTGAAGTAATTCCCCAGGAAGGATTTGGTTCCTGCCCTTTAGCACTTAGCCTCTGTCTTCCCCATAACTTGGCAGGTGTGCAGGGCTGCACCCTGCGGCCACACCGCACAGGAGGTGGGGGTTTGTTTTTTTTGTTTTTTGTTTTTCACGTGGCTAGCACAGGGGAGTCATTTCTCTCCCCCCATAGGACCATCTCTCTGTCTCTGTTTAGACTGTTTTTCCTGAGAAGGCTTTAGGCCTGTTTCTTACCACCTGGTATTTCCCTTTTTATCCGAGGATTTGTTAAAAACCTCCACATTCATGGTGTTATACTGCTTCCCGCGGCTCTGCCTTCTTCTCAGCGCTCAGAATTCCAGAGGCAAGGTGTGTTAGGATGCAGCTCTGAGACTCTGCGCGTTTATCACTGAGATGCTATTAAAGCCACAAAATGAAATTTAAAAATGGGGGGTGGGTGGGGAGAAAACCATTTATTTTCCTAACATCTTAACAATTATTGTTTTTAAAGATTTTATTTATTTATTTTTAGAGAGAGGGTAAGGGAGGAAGAGAGAAAGAGGAACGTCAGTGTGTGGTTGCCTCTTGTGCATCCCCCATTGGGAACTGGCCTGCAACCCAGGCATGAGCCCTGACTGGGAATCAAACTGGCGACCTTTAGTTTATAGGCCAGTACTCAGTCCATTGAGTGCCAGGGCAGGGCAACTGCCCTGGGCAACAGGGCTGCCCAGGGCAACAAGCCAGGGCAACAACTATTTTTATTTCTCCGTTTTCTGTTTGCCTGCATACCCTTTTGGGTTTCATCTACCTGTCCATAATGTAGGGACAGTTACAATGTTCCTACGGTTTTGATCTCTGTTTTTAAAAGTTAATGTTAGAAACATTTTTCTTTACTATACCTTACAGTCTTCATTTCATTTTTAGGAAGATAAACCATAATATATTGAATCATCCTCCTACATTTAAGTTGTTTCTTTTTTCTTAAATTATAAAAAAATATGGTGAGCATTTTTTACATGTGTCCTTGTCCTTCTTTAGAAAAATATCCTATGGATAATTTCCCAGAAATGATGTCACTGAACAGTTTATAGCTTAATCAAAATGAAGCTTCACAAACAAATTTAAATAGAAACTGAGGCTTTGACATATTTTATGATTCCTTGTGTGGACACTTCATTGATTTTAAAAGGGAAAGATGTTATCCCAGCTATTGGGAAGTCCCTTAAGTTGCTGAATTTTCCCAATAACTGAAACCTGTAATGGTCATTTGCTCTTTCCTCTGATACCCTCAGTCCTTTTAAATTCTTTATTTTAGCACATTTGACCTTGCCCTATCTTTGTATCTGTCTTTTTGTTCTCCTGGCCAGCTAATTCAATAACATATCGTGTTACATCTTCTCCTACTTCATGCCAAGCAGCAGAGCAAATGAAAAAATGAATTTCAACATCTAAATTATTTTTAACATTCCATCATTTAAGAAAAGGGAATATTTCTGAAATGAGCTATATGCTTCTTTGCCACTTTAAACACAATATACTGTGCATATATCAATGAACATAATTTAATTAGTCAAATAGTTTCTGGACACATTTGTAGTGGAAACTGGGGTGAGGATATGGGCCTCCGTTGTTGTGATGTGTTTTCAGGCAGAGGCCAATAATGAGAGAACAGGAAAGGAAAAGAAAGCACATCTTTTCTTAAAATGTTCCTGATGCTGTTGGCTTTCTGGTGGTCTCTTTCCTGGAATGAGAACTATGTATTCCATCCACGCTGCCCTTCGGCAAGATGAGCTAAGGCACAATTAGCTTCTCTGTGCCAAAGTGGGGTTCTCTCCCTCTGGAAAATCATCCTGGCTGTTTAAATCAGTTTCCTTCGACTTGTTGGTGACAATTAAAACATGATCTGTGGTTTCTCTATCACTCATAAAATAGACTCCATCTCCTGGTTTCTTTCAGTTTATTCTTCATATCTTAATAAGAAGTGGCTGGGGAATCTGATAACAGATTATAGGTGTGGCCAAGTTTTCTGTGGTATTTGACTTAGAAGACTCTTAAACACAATGAACATTAAACACATTGTGTTTTTGAACGTTTGAAAATGGCTGAGGGCCCTATGTTTTGTGAGATGCCCAGGGCACAAGATTTTTCATAAAATCTCTTCTAATATGGCTTCACATTTTGTTAAATAACATTGGGTTCCTACACGGAACCAGTAACCAGACAGAATACAATAGTTTTTTTAAAAAGGAAGAAAGAAAATAAGGAAGAAAGCAAGTAGAAAATAATCCTGTTTTCTGTGGATAAGCCATGCAATCGGTCAACAATAGGATGGCTATTTTTTATCCTTAACTGATGGCTCTAAATTTTTGTTTTTAACTCAGTTTACAGAAATGATTATAGAACAAATTTTCAGCTACTTCTTTGTCCAAAAATCTGTTTTCAGCTGTCCTGGGGGAAGTGGAGTAACACGAAACGTCTGTCCTGAGTGCCACAACCGTGGAGCTTTCTCATTACCGGCTGCCACCTTTGCTGGGAGCCTGCAGTCCTGGCAGCTGGCCCCCCTCCGGCAGCCTCACGGTGTTTTATCTTTGACTTGGCCAACCTGCAGGTCCTTCAAGTATCAGCAAAATGTGATGGTTGTGAAACTGTATTGATCTGGGGATAGACTGTCCTCAGAAATATTATTGAACATTTTATAGGATTTTTAATTTAAAAAAAGTAAAAATATATCATATCTCTTACCAGCCATGTTACACTTTTTAGGCCATCCTTCTGGGAAAAAAATTATATAATTTTCTGTCAGCCACAGTTTTGATATAAAACCCTTCACTTACCCTTTAGTTGAGCATGGGCCAGAGAGAGGGGCCCTGTAGGACCTCTGGGAAGCATTTATGCAGAAGCAGGTTGAGATCAGTATTCTTCTCCTTGGACACGGAAACCCGTGAATAGATGGCATGTGAAATAGAGTGTTCTGTGGGCGAGTACACTGTTGCTTTGGACACCTGGTGTGCATCTCTCAGTGTGCATGTTGTCAGGACAGCCCCTGGCTGCTGCTGGGCGTAGAGAGAATGTCCTTTGTCTCCCAACTTTCCTTCCTTCTCGTCTTTTTAGGTGCTGGTCATGTTTCTTTGCTTTAGTTTGGAAATGTGTAGCGCGAGTCTCATTATGTAGTAAGTACCACACACAGTCACTTTTATAGCCTCCCGCACCCGCACACACCACCCATGCACACCGGGTCTTCTGTCCTGGCTGCTTTCATGGGTGCGCCTGGCCTAGGTTTTGACAGCACTGATTCTGAATGGCCAGGGGTTTCCCTCGTTTTCTTTGACTGGAGTAGAGAGGCACATTCATTTCTAATGGGTATTGTCTTATATTCTGAAGTTTATATATTACCTCTCCCACCTTCGGCTTGGTATAATGGTCAGTAAAGCCACTGAAGTGAGGGAGTGACATTTTTGAAATCCCTTGTGCTTTTTGGTCTCTACCCTGGAAAATTTCAAATGCTACTAAGTGATACGGTGAGGTGTAATCTGATTGGATTTGTGCAACACAGTCCACTTAAGCAACAGCCCCAGCTGCAGATAGCAGTGTGCTGGTGTAGAGTGGTCCATAAAACCGAGGTTCTTAACGAGCATTGGCGGCAGTACACAAAAGGCAGCTCAAAACACAGATATATCCTGGAAAAGATAAGTGTGGGAAGAGGAACTGCCTTATCGTCTAAACAATTGAGAAACGTGTGAGAATCAGAGCAGGAAACAGGGGTTAGATTCTCAAGGGCTGTGGTGCAGAGGCTGGGGGGAGGCTCCAGGAAGACCCGACAGGGGAGCCAATAGCAACAGTGAGGGGAGTCTCTGCTGCCCATTAAGGAGGGCTGTGCAGCGGCAGCAGCAGGACTTGCTGTCAGGACTTCCTGACATTTGATAAATGTCAGGACATGTGTATTTTCATAAGATTGCTTACGTTCTGTGTTAGGTGCTTGGGAAGAGCCAGAACTGCCTTAGCTTCCTGGACGAATCTCTTGCTGTTTCATCTGAGCTTATCAATGCCTATAGCTAGAGTCCTGAAGGACTAGTCCCCGTCTGTGCGATACAGCTCTACCCTGGGACTGCAGAGGTTTCCCTGGTTCAATGGATGTGCATGTTCCAAAGAAAAGGAAAGAGATTCTATTGGCAGTTTCACTTAACTCAGTGAGACTATTTTTATCCCCTCATCAGTGACCCTTCTTGAATGGGAAGTAGCTTTACTTTGAGGCCTCAGGTCCCCAAGGAGCAACCATTCCTCCAATTCCGCAGGAAGCTCTATACTCCTGAGGTACTATACCTACTTAATTATTTATATACAGAACAGCCACATTCCCAATATCGTTGATCCATGCCTCAAAATATATAGTAAATCAGATTATGTCCTTCATTCAAGGAGCTGATAGTCTAGCAGGGGAGATAAGAAAATAAATGTATGATCTGTGAAGTTAGAGTGTCAAGTGCTGTGATAAGTACAGCTAAAGTGAGATGGGTGTTCAGGGAGGGGACGCAAGGAAGACTTCTTTGAGGAGGTGATGTGAGTCTTCAGAGACTGTTTGAAAGGCAGAGAGAGGAAGAAGGGCACTTCAGAGGAAGCCATGTGGCTAATGCCATAGAGGCCACAGGTGAGAGACTGGGTACAGGGAGCAGTTGGGTGGCGATGGCACACCACCTGAGCAGGAGGTGACAAGGGCCTGAACCAGGGAAGTGAGGGAAACAATCGAAGAAGTCGTAGAACTAACTCTTTGGTTGTGAGGGTCAAGGATGAGATTGGTCAGATGGCCGCTAGGCTTCTGAGCAGGTGGTGACTTCACAAGAATAACGGACAAAGGAAGTGAAAGGCAAGGAACATGAGGAAAAACATAGACCTATTGAATCTGAAGCGCCCCTGGGACATCAAGATGGATGTACCTAGCAGGTCATTGGAAGTGCAGGTCTGAATTCAGGTTAAGAATCGAAGGCAAATGTTTGGGAGTTATTTACATAGAATTAATCGTTGGAGAAAAATAGATGAGCTTGCCAAAAAAGAATAAGGAATGCAAAGGCGCATTCTTGGGGATCATCTTAGCTTTTTGGAAGAGGGAGAGAAAAGCCAGAAGAGATTGTCACAGGAAAAAAAAATGGCCCCAGGGAAAAAAACAGGAGAGTGTAGTGTCTTTGAACTGCAAGGCAAAAGGAAGTTTAAGGAGACAGGCAGGAGGATCAAAGAGGGGTCAAGAAAAGCAAGGACTGAGAAGGGGCCTTGGATATGGTGGTTAAGAGGTCACTGTGACCTTGGAGGGGGCACTCTTAATAGCCTAGGAATAAAAGCTATATAGCAAGAGGTGAATAATAGAGAGTGAATAATAGTAGGTGGTCAAGAAGTTGAGGCAGTGAATGGAAATTATACTTTCAAAACGTTTGGTGGGAAAGTTTTGTTTTTCTTTTTCCTGACTTAGGGGATTCTTGTGCCCTGAGGGAAAGACATAGATGCTCAGAAAACAGAAAAGAAGATAATGGCTAGAGTAGGGACTCGGAGCAGGCTGGCCAGGGACAGCTCACTGCGAAATGTCTTCGTGCTGGGGAGAAGGCCTGAAGAATGGAGAGCTGGGGCGAGAGGGAGCCGAGGCAGCCATGCCCAAGTCCCGGTCAAGCAGGGAGGGAAGGGAGTCTGCCAGAGAGGGCAGGTTCTGAGCTCGAGGAGAGCTGAGCAGGCCTGGGGTGAAGATGGCAATGCGGAGGAATGCCTGCTCAGCTTCTGGCAGAACACACGTGGGCTTAGGTAATGTGATTTGTGGTGGAACTTGTTGCCCAGTTTTGTGCTTTCTTCATGAACTCTGAGCGGCTGGGGAGAAAATGTGAGTATTTTGCCCTGCTCAGATGAGGGGAGAGGGAGAACCAGCCCCAGCACTGGGATCATGGATTAAGGGTTCCAGCAGGATGTGAAGTAAGCAAGGTCAGCAAGTCAGCACGACCCCACGAAGCAACAACGCATAATGACCCCATTAGCAAGGGCCACAGACCATGGCCCAGAAAGGAATTGGGTTGGAAAAGACAGATGTGTCTCCTCAAAGCAATGAAAATTAAATCAGTTTCCCTTTTCTCCCTCAAATCTCAAGAAAGCTGAGCTAGTTAAATCAAGGGGAGTGATGGCCTCTGGGGAGAGATGGGGAGAGGAAGGGATGGGCCCGTCCGTGTGAGGAAGAGGACAGGGCAGAGGGACAGGTGAGGGGACGGCCACTCCCCTGAGTGGCCGAACTGGAGGGGAGAAGTGGGGCCGCCTGACAGAGATGGTTCATCTTCACCTCCCTGCTCATGCCTCCTCTCTTCAGGAACTCCTACAGGCCAAAGCAGGACCTTCAAGATCTGCTCATCGCCAAAGAGGAGCAGGAAGACCTCTTGAGGAAGCGGGAGCGGGAGCTCACGGCCCTGAAGGGAGCCCTGAAAGAAGAGGTTTCCAGTCACGACCAGGAGATGGAGAAGCTGAAGGAGCAGTATGACGCCGAGCTGCAGGCCCTGAGGGAGAGCGTGGAAGAGGCCACCAAGGTGAGTCCCCCTCCACCCCGGACCGCGGGCCAGCCCACAGCGAGTGTCGGGAGGGGCAAGCAGATGTGACTCGGGAACAGCTAACAGGGCCAGCCGTGTCCTACAGCACGGCCAGCTGTCTTCTGTTTCATCACGGAAACAGAACGTGTTCACAGAAAATAACTTCCACTGTGCTGCTGTAGACTGTGTTAAGTCTAAAAACTTAAACATTATTTAGGACATTGTTTGAATGCTGTTGCACCAGGTGAGATCTAGAGGCCCTCGAATGAGCTCTGGAAGCTCCGCAGCCCCTTGCGGAGCAGAGACCTGCACCCCTCCAGATGTGCCTAAAGGGCAGCGGCCTGCGGCTTTGTGTGGTTTTGCTGATGGCGCAGGACTGCAGAAGCGACCCAGATTTCTGGAATCCTTTACCCCTGCCCTAGCCGGCTCCTTCTGACTTGCGAAACCTTTTGTTAGATGTTTCGGGTTCTTTTCTCGACAAAGTTCCAAGAGGGTTGCTTGGCTGAATTGCCCAAACCCTGTAAGATGACTTTTCTCTTCATTGAATTCTTGGCTCCTACAAATAGATTCTCCTACATTATGTTGAAGTCTTCTGGTGTGGGCCTCATGTGGGCTGTTGAAGAAGAGAAAAGGCGATGTTTTCAGGAGAAAATGCTTTGAAATATCATGCCATCTTTAGGGAAAAAGAGGAATTGCAGAGCACGATGAACAGAGTGAATGCATCAATGTATAGGTCAACGATGACGAAGAAAGAACTCTTGAGATGGTTTGTTTATTCTGTGAGGATTACAGTGGCAGCTCAGAGCTCAGGGGCCCTCCCTTCACTAGGCTCCATAGTGATGCACGGATTTCAGTCATGGCCCGGTAATTACAAATGACATGAAGTGAATGATGGGTTTGTTTGTTATAACAATAAAACGTCTGGGAAATAGTCTGTTTGGGGCTATTATAACTGAGGCAGTTAAAAAGAAAAGGCTGATTGTTGATTTGCCTATCTTAGATTCTTTTGAGATGAGGTTTCATTTGAGGGAGAAAAGCACAACAGATTGAATTTTTGTTACTTTCAGGGGATGTCTTTATTTCCACCTCATTTTGCCTGTGTGCAATAGGCCGGTGCCCTTGCTAGTAGCCTTTCTGTGCTGTTGCTTCATGGAGGACATGCCAGTATGCTACTGAGTGAAATGATGCTCCTCGGAGCCCATCATGTCTGTATTATCTTCAGACATTGCATCAAAGCTTGAGTTAATGTGGTGTCTTCACCGAAGGGCAGGTGGCCGAGGATGGTGTTCAGGCACAGTTACAGCAATTTCACTGTAAGAAAGATTAAACTGGTACCACACAGGGGTTGCTCCCAGATATTGTAAATGGGGAAGGGAAACGTGGGAGGTGAAAGAGGATATCTTTCTTGTATGCAGTCGAGATAATCTGTAGAGACTTAGGCTATTGCGTTTTGGCCTTTTTGAAGGTCAGAGTTGTGTGTGAGTTCACGGCATTTGCATTATGTCAGTTGAAGAGGGGTAACTGCGTTGACTCACATCGGTCTGTGAAAGAAACCACAGGTGAGCTGGCCAAGGTGTACATCACTGGCAGAGAATGTAGGGTTTCTGAGCACAAGGAAGCGAACACAAAGGGGTTCACCTTGGCATCCAGTGCCTGTCAGCTAGGCTCTTTGCCCCGGGTCATATTCTGCACTGCTGCCAGCATCTTTCCCTGAAAGAACAAATCTGGTCATGTCAACTTCTGCTTTGGTAACTCCCCTGCCTCCCCATGGCCCCAGACTGAAGTTCAAAACTGTGAGCGTGGCAGGCTACAGAAGCCCCTTCTCTTTCTAACCTTGTCTCTAGAAAACTCCATTTTCTTTTAGTCCTCTCATGGCTTCACCTATATGGAATGATTTCCTTCCACTTTTCTGCCTGAGCAACTTTTACTCATCCTCCAAGATCCTTCCTAACATCCTCTTCTCTGAAGGTATCCCAGATGCCTCCACTCCTTAGGGTGGGATCAGTCGCACCTTCCTTGTGGTTTCTATTGCACCCTAGTCATTCCTCTACCAGGAATGATTAGTTTGAATCATACTGTGTTGTAATTTGTCATTTTGTCTGCTGACTCCATGAGACTCTGAGCTTCTTCATCACAAAGGCCATTTTTATCACTTTTTTTTTCCTTAGGCTGAGATTGGCAGACTCAGGTACCTCAGGGTCCAGACAGGGAGAAAAATGGGTAAAGCTCTGGGAGCGTTGCTGGGGTTACAGTAGGGCATGGTGGGGACTGTGGCAAGCTGGAAAGTGTGTCCTTTGCTGTAGGGTCAGTTGCTCAGTAGCAATTCCAGCTACAGCTCAGAGTTGCCTGTTTTGGGCCCATGTTGTTTGATCTCTGAATTTTTAAAGAGAAGCCAGATAGCTGGATGTTGAAGTGAAATCTCCTAACTTTTATGTAGTGCTTCAAATTGAAAAAAAAAAGAATCACATTAAAAAAAAAGAATGAACCAAACACAACCCATTTATAGGTTGACAGGTGTGATCTTTGTTGCTTTAGCTTAACACAGTACCCAGCATACAGTCATGTCTGAGCAAAGTCTGATGAGTGAGAGTAAGTGGAGGACAAGTTCCCCTCTTACCCGGGTTCTCAGGCTGGTTGTGTGGTTACCACTGGATTTTCTCCAACGATGATGTGAGAAGTGTTTTAGGAAATCTGCCATTACTCTGTGAATTTCTGTGACTTGCTTTTGATTTCCCTGTAGCTTTTTAAAAAAGAAGATTATGAATATGTTTTTATACCTTAGCTTTCGCTTCTGAAGGTAGTTGCTAAACATATGTGCCAGAGCATATTTAATGGAAAAATTATGTTGATTTAGTGAACAGATGCTGCCTTTTTGCTACATTATTTATATGTGGGTACTATATAATAGAACTTTCTTAAAGTATATTTTAAAGTATAATATTTTATATATTATTTTTAAGTAATATCAATATAAGTATATTGATTATGCTGTTGAAGTTATCCCATTTTTCCTCCTTTGCCCCCTTCTGCCTGGTACGCTCATTCCCTCCAGCAGTCCCCCCCCCCCCTTAGTTCATGCCCATGGGTCATACATATGAGTTATTTGGCTTCTCCACTTCCTATACCATTCCCAACACCCCCTTTCTATTCTGTACCCACCAGCATTGCTTCTTATTCCCTGTACCTTTTCCTCCATTCTCTCCCCTCCCCCTCCCTGCTGATAACCCTCCATGTGATCTCCATCTCTATGACTCTGTTCCTGTTCTAGTTGCTTGCCCAGTTTGTTTTTGTTCTTTAGGTTCTATTCTTGAAGTTGTGAGTTTGTTGTCATTTTATTTATTGTTTATAGCTTTGATCTTCTTTCTCTTAGATAAGTCTCTTTAACATTTCATGTAATAAGGGCTTAGTGATGATGAACTCCTTCAACTTGACCTTATCTGGGAAGCACTTTATCTGCCCTCCCTCTCTAAGCAATAGGTTTGCTGGATAGAGCAATCTTGGATGTATGTCCCTGCTTTTCATCTCTCTGTATACTTCTTGCCAGTCCCTTCTTGCCTGTGATGTTTATTTTGAGAAACCAGCTGATAGTTTTATGGGCACTCCTTTTTTGGTACTCTCTTCTTTTGTTGCTTTTAAGATTCTCTTTATCTTTAACCTTTGACATTTTAATTATGATGTGTCTTTTGGTGTGTCCCTCTTTGGTCCAACTTGTTTGGGGCTCTCTGAGCTTCCTGGACTTGTATGTCTATTTCATTCACCATATTGGGGAAGTTTTCTTTCATTTAATAATAATAGTAATAATTTTTCAATATCTTGTTCTTCCTCTTCTCCTTCTGGTACCCCTATGATTTGGATGTTGGTATGTTTAAAGTTGTCTCAGAGGTTCCTAAGCCTCTCCTCATTTTTTGAATTCTTGTTTCTTTTTTCTGTTAGAGTTGACTGTTTATTTCTTCCTTTAACTCCAAATTGTTGATTTGAATCTTGGCATTCTTCGCTTTACTGTTGGTTCCTTGTATAGTTTACTTTAGTTGACTTTGTATAGCCTTCACTTGTTCCTTTATTTTGCATCTGTACTGAGTCATTTCTGTGAGCATCCTGATCACCAGTGTTTTGAACTCTGCATCTGATAGGTTGGCTATCTCTGTGTTACTCAGTTCTTTTTCTGGAGTTTTGGTCTGTTTGTTAATTTGTGCATATTTCTTTGTCTCCTCAATCTGTCAGCCTCCCTGTGTTTCTGTGTATTAGGTAGAGCTGCTTTGGCTTCCCTTGTTGACGCACCTACTATGTTGTAAGGGGTGGTCTCAGGTATTTGCTAGGGCTGTGCAACCTACTTAGCTGCTTTGTGCCGCTGTCTCTTGGGTAAAGGTTCAGATAGGGAACAGTGTTGCTTGCTCGGCTCTCGCCCCAGTTCCAGTCACTTCCCCCGCTTCCTGTAAGCATCTGACACCCTTCTAGCTACTTCCCTGGTGCTGCTTCCCAGAGTGGGTGGGTTTGTTCTAGGGCCCTGTGGACTCTTTAAATGGATGCTCCTGACAGACCGTCAGCTTCTTCCACTGTGCCAGCCCCTACTGTTTTTACAGCCAGAGGTTATGAGGCTTTGTTCTCCCAGCTGCTTAGTCTGTCATGGGGCTGAAATCACTTGCTTCCCAGTTGTCCGTCCTGGTTTTCATCAGCCGCATGTGAATGTGGAACCGCTTGTTCTACCTCTGTAGTTGCCTCTTGCCACTGCCAGCACACGCCACGTCCTCTCCACTCCTTCTACCCATCTAGATGAACATTTCTTCTTTAAATCCTTCACTGTTGGAGTTCCATAATGTTTGACTTTCTGACAGTTCTAGTTTTTTGTTTTTAGATTTGTTGTTATCTTTCTGATGGTTGTATGAGAAGGTAAAGCGAGTCTACCTATGCTTCCATCTTGGCTGGAAGTCTGTATAATAGAATTTTGTGATTATTATTTTGACTACTTGGGAGAGAGTGAATTAAATATATTTTTTAACTTT